TTTTTTAATATATTATTGGATTTCGTTTGCTAATATTTTGTTGAGGGTTTTTGAATCTATGTTCAGTTCATTAAGATATTGGTCTGTAGTTCTCTTTTTTGTAGTGTCTTATCTAGGTTTGGTATCAGGGTAATGCTGGCCCCATAGAATGAATTGCTTTCCCTCCTCTTCTATTTTTTGGAATAGTTTGGGAAGAATAGGTATTCACTCTTCTTGAAATGTTTGGTAGAATTCACCTGTGAAGCCCTTTGGACCTGGACTTCTGTTTGTTCAGAATTCAATTCAATTTAATTGCTGATAATAGGTTTGTTCAAATTTTCTATTTTTCCTGGTTCAGTTTTGGGAGGTTATGTGTGTCTAGGAATTTATTTTTTTCTAGATTGTCCAATTTGTTGGCATGTCATTTTTCATAATCTCATAATGCTTTGTATTTCTGTGACATTGGTTGTGATTTCTCTTTCTGATTTGGAGGTTTTTTTTAAATTTTATTATGTTAATCACCATACATTACATCATTAGTTTTTGATGTAGTGTTCCATGGTTCATTGTTTGTGTATAACACCCAGTGCTCCATTCAGTACGTGCCCTCTTTAATACCCATCACCAGGCTAGCCCATCCCCCCACCCCCCTCCCCTCTAAAACCCTCAGTTTGTTTCTCAGAGTCCATCGTCTCTCATGGTTCGTCTCCCCCTCCGATTCCCCCCCTGCTTCTTTTTTAACATATAATGTATTATTTGTTTCAGAGGTACAGGTCTGAGTTTCAACAGTCTTACACAATTCACAGTGCTCACCATAGCACATACCCTCCCCAATGTCTATCACCCAGCCACCCCATCCCTCCCACCCCCCCACCACCCTCAGTTTGTTTCCTGAGATTAAGAATTCCTCATATCAGATCATATGATACATGTCTTTCTCTGATTTGTTTCGCTCAGCATAATACCCTCCAGTTCCATCCACGTCATTGAAACTGGACCATTTCCTTATGCTACACGCAAAAATAGACTCAAAATGGTTGAAAGACCTAAATGTGAGACAGGAGTCCATCAAAATCCTAAAGGAGAACACAGGCAGCAACCTCTTCGACCTCAGCCACAGCAACTTCTTCCTAGAAACCTCTCTTAAGATTTTTTATTTGAGAGAGAGAATGAGTGGGTGGGGAAGGGACAGAGGGAGAAGCAGCCTCCCCACTGAGCAGGGAGCCTGATGTGGGGCTTGATCCCAGGACCCTGAGATCATGACCTGAGCCCAAGGCAGCCACTCAACCAACTGAGCCAACTAGGCGCCCCTCTCTCTTTTTTAATGAGTCTGGCTAAAGGTTTATCAATTTTGTTGATCTTTCCAAAGAACCAGCTCCAGGTTTCACTGATTGGTTTTACTGGTGTTTGTTTCTCTTTTGCTTCTGCTCTAATCTTTACTATTTCCTTCTTTCTGCTGCTTATGGGTTGTGTTTTTTCTTCTTGATCCTTTCAGTGTAAGGTTAGATTGAGATTTTTCTTGGTTCTTGAGGTAGGCCTGTATTGCTATAAAACTTCCCTCCTAGAACAGCTTTTGGTGCATCCCAAAGATTTTGGACCATTGTGTTTTCATTTTCATTTGTCTCCATGTACTTTTTTTATTTCCTCTTTGATTTCTTGGTTGACCCATTCATTGTTTAGTAGCATGTTATTTAACCTCCATGTATTTGCATTCTTTTTCAGATTTTCTCCTGTGGTTGATTTCTAGTGTCATAGCTTTGTGGGTTGGAACAAGATGCATGGTATCACTCCAAATTTGGGGGTTGTTTTTTTTTTTTTTTTGCCTAATATGTGATCTGTTATGGAGTATGTTCAATGTACACTTGAAAAGAATATTCTGTTTTAGGGTGGAATGTTCTGGATATATCTGTTAGATCCATCTGGTCTAATGTGTCATTCACAGCCATTGTTTTCTTGTTGATTTTCTGTTTGGATGATCTATCCATTGGCGTAAGTGCATATTAAAGTCTCCTACTATTATTGTATTACTATTGATTACTTCCTTTACATTTGTGATTAGCTGCTTTATGTGTTCCAGTGTTTGGTGCACAAATAGTTACAACTGTTACACTTTGTTGGATTGTTCCCTTTATGACTATGTACTATCCTTCTTTGTTTCTTGTTAGAATCTTTTGTTTTAAAGTCTATTTTGTCTTATACAAGTATTACTACCCTGGCTTTCTTTTCACACCTATTTGTATGACAAATGCTTTTTCATCCCTTCACTCTCAGCCTGCATGTCTTTAGGTCTGAAATGAGTCTGTTGTAGGCAGCCTACAGATGGGTCTTAATTTTTTATCTAATCCATCGCCCTATGTCTTCTCATTGTTTAGTCCATTTACATTCAAAGTAATACTGACAGGTATGTATTCACTGCCATTTTGTTACTTGTTTTATGGTTGTTTTGTAGTTCTTCTCTGTTCTTTTCTTCCCTTGCTCTCTTCTCTCACGATTAATTGGCTTTCTTTGGTAAGATACTTGGATTCTTCCTCTTTATTTTTGCCTATTACCAGTTTTTGACTTGTGGTTACCATTAGGTTATATATAATACCTTATGCATATAGCAGTCTATATTAAGTTAATGGTCACTTACATTTGAACCCTTTCCAAAAGCACTAAATTTGGGGGCGCCTGGGTGGCTCAGTCATTAAGCAACTGCCTTCAGCTCAGGTCATGATCCCAGAGTCCTAGGATCAAGCCCCACATTGAGCTCTCTGCTCGGCAGGAAGCCTGCTTCTCCCTCTCCCGCTCCCCCTCCCCCTGCTTGTGTTCCCTTTCTCTCTCTGTCAATTAAATAAATAAATAAAATCTTAAAAAGGCTTTAAAAGCACTAAATTTTTATTCCTCTCTTCCCCACATTTTAGGTAGATGGTATCATACTTTTTACATCCTTTCATTTTGTGAATCCACTGATGGATTTTTTTTATAGATATACTTAATATTACTGTTTTGCTTCCTACTTTTCTTAATCCTGCCTATGGTCCTTCCTTCCCATTCAAAGAATCCCCTTTCACATTTCTTGTACAACTGCTTTAGTGGTGATGAATTCTTTTGTGGATCTACAAAAGTCTTTCTCTCTCCTATTCTGAATAATGGCCTTGCCAGATATTGTCGGTTGTAGGGTTTTTTCCCTTTCAGCACTGTGAATATATCATGCCACACCCTTCTGGCCTACCAAGTTTCTGCTGAAGGCTCAGCTGGTAGTCTTATGGGGTTTCCCTTTTATGTAACTATTTTCTTTTGTTGCTTTAAAAAATGCTCTGGGGCACCTGGGTGGCTCAGCCATTAAGCGTCTGCCTTTGGCTCAGGTCATGGTCCCAGGGTCCTGGGATCAAGCCCTGCATGGGGCTCCCTGCTCCGCGGGAAGCCTGCTTCTCCCTCTCCCACTCCCCCTGCTTGTGTTCCCTCTCTTGCTGTGTCTCTCACAAAAAAATAACATTTTCTTAAAAAAAAATGCTCTGAAGATCACTACTTTTTGCCATTTTAATTACTATGGGCCTTGGTGTGGGAATCCCTTGGTTGATTTTGCTGGCGCCTCTCTGTGCCTCCTGGATCTGGATTTGTTTCCTTCCCCAGATTCAGGAAGTTTTCTGCTATTTCTTCAAACAAATTTTCTGCCCCCTTTTCTTCCTCTTCCTCTTCTGGGGTCCCTATAATGAAATGTTATTGTGCTTGATGGTGTCACTTGAGTTCCCTCAATCTACTCTGTTCCCTTCTTTCTCATACTCAGCTTGGTGCGTCTCCATCACTCTGTCCTCCAGGTCACGGACCTGTTCTTCTCCTTCCTCTGTTTATTCCCTTTAGTGTAGTTTTAATTTTAGTTATTGAGTTCTTCGAGTTCTTTATCTCTGACTGGTTCTTCATGTCTTCTCTTTGTTGAGGGTGTCACTGAGGTCTTCCGCTCTTCTCTCAAGTCCAGTTAGCATCTTTCTTACCATTATTTTAAATTCTTCATCAAGCATATTATCGTTTTCCACTTAGATCTCTTGGGAGTCTATCCTGCTCTTTCATTTGGGACCTGCTCCTCTGTCTCATTTTGGCTCTGTGTTTGGAAATTCAGCTACGTCTGCCGCTCTTGAAAGTAGGGGCCTTAAGAAGGAGAGGTTCTGTAGTGCCCTGCAGTGCAGTGGCTCTTGTTCACCAGAACCTGGTGCTTACGGGGTGTCTCCTATGTGTGTTGCTGTGCCATGTTTGCCTTCAGTCGAAATGGCTATCTGTGCCTATTGTGAGTAGGGTTTGGTCCCCATGCTGTTAGTGGGTCTGTCTGGGGCTTGAATTGGGTCAGACCAGACTACTGCTGGGGCCACAGCTGAACTAGTATGTGTGGGTTTCCTCCCCTCTCCCTGCGGCAGGAGTCACTTTGGGGTGGTGCCACCCAGGCCCCCTGAAGTCCACTGATTTTTCAAGTTCCAGGTTAAAAGCCCCACTGATTAGAAAGTTAAACCCCTCTGTTTTTCAAAGCCAAATGTTATGGGGATTTGTCTTCCTGGTGGGGGTCTGCTCCTCTCCCCTCTGTGCCTGCAGTGTCCCTCGCTGCCATGGGCAGCCCTGCAGGTCCGTTTGGCTCCTTCGTGGTGTCTGTGTCCCTTCCTACCCTCTTGGATGCAGCATGTATGTATGTGCTTTCAATAAATTTGCAAAACTTCTAGCCCTTGCATTTTCTAATTTTTTTTCCTGTCCCACAAGAACTTTTTCTACCCAGAGACAATATGAAGGGCAGACAACAATGTAAAATGCTGTTAGGAGAAAATTGTTAACCCAGGATTCTATAGTCAGTGAAGATACTCTGCAAGAAAGAAGGCAAATACATTTTCAGATAAGGTAAAACTAGTCGAATTCATTCCTGGTAAACCTGTAATGCAAGAAGTGCTCTTCAAAGACAGAATTTCACTTAAAACTCTATTTCCTAGTGTTAAGCCCCTTACCTCTAATGGTCGTATTGTGTTTCTCTCTGTTAAGGAACTTAAGAGGCTGCATCTCACCTGAGAAAAATATTCTTCTGAGATGCGTGCAGCCCACTCAATGCACTGCTCCAGGGGTCGGCAGGGATTGGACACATCTGCGCATTTAATCAGCATTCGTTTAATCAGAGTCCGGTTCTCTGGAGTCCTGAGCATAGTGTTTATGGCTTCTTCATCTCTATTCACTTCCTAAAACACGAGAGAACGCAATCAAAGTGGGTTCCCTGGTACTAAGCCCTGTCTTACAGGTGTGGCCCCACTGTACACAGTAAGGCACTGACCAGGATCTACAAGTAAGGCGTTTCACGGAACAGTGAGGAGTATAATCCGAGCACTGAGCTCAGCCCCTCACTGTGTCCAGTGAGATTCCGGCAGGACCCAAGAGTAGAGGGTAGCACTCGAGATTGTCTTTGTGCCCCTCCCCTCTTCTTGGCTCTTTTCTTCCCACTCCAGTTATTTCTCACAGTTGCTTTTTCTTTGTTCTGTTGCTACTGCTCTCCCTTGGGACATAAGCAGTTATCTTTTTTGTACCTACTAAAAAAAAGTGTGAACTGTAAACATAGGTTTCTCTGCTCTTTCACCAAAAAGAATCCTGTGGTGCACCAGGCTCCCTGCTTTGCACAACCCAACCCCTAACCCAGTCCCGTGATAGGTGTGAACTTGAGAATCAGCTGTCGGTGTACCCAGATTTGTCAGATACAGTGATACTTAATAGTCATTCTCTTTTGATCTTCACTCACAAGGATTTATGGTAGGCACAAAAAGCAGTATTATTTACTATTGTATTTTATACATGAGGACACTGGGACTCAGAGTGGTTAAGAGACTTATCCTGGCTCAGCTGGGTAGCTGTGGACAAGAACTTCAGGTCTATCTTTAGTTGTGGGCTCTGTCTATTCATAGTACCACATGCTTCTGGTTTAAAGGCACGCCACTGGTATGGATTCTTAACCTGTGGTATAACGGCCCTGGTAGTTAAGCCCTCCGAAGCAAATTCAGGTGGGAAAAGGGAGTACCAGGGCAAAGAGCACTGTCAAGAGACCGCAACAAGCTAGTCTCCTTATGTTTCCAAAGATGTCAAGCAGGTGGTTCCATCGAGTAATCGCAATGATCTAAAAAGGCCTGATGGTCCCATCTCAATGGGGACAGATATGCCATGAAGATGGGCATGTGCCCATCCAGAGCCCAGGCTGCCTCTTCTCCTGGAGAGTGCCACAGTGGACATGACCAAGGCTGCCTCGATAGGTCTCCTTGCCCCAAGTTTCCCACCACCAACCAGCTTGGTGTTGACTCCTCTCTCCAGCTGTGTGACTACAGTTTGGTCCTGCTAGCTGTAACCTTTAACTTTCATATTACTTTGTCCCTCCTCTGCTCACCAGATTGATTTCCAGTCTCAGAAGTAACCCCAAGTACTAACAGCTGAGAGATGGAACAGAATCCTCAGCTTGAGTCTGGGACCTGCCCAGACTTGATGGAAGAAACCAAGACTGTGGCATGGAGTTGGCCAGGAGCGGTGGCCTGGTTGACATCCTGTCCAGGATGGCGGGAGCCATTAAAAAAGGATGTGGGTGCTTCCACACTGGAAGTCCTTGGAAAGGAAGTGAAGTCAGAAGCAGGACGACAGAGAACGGGTGGGTGAACGAAGCAGAGTTCTCAGTGGGTTTCGAATCGGATTAAAGAGGAACAAGTGTGAAGGGGGTAATAATCTAGAAAGCCAGGGACAAAGGCGATGGCCAGATGAGTTGCAGGAGTCAAGTGGGGTCAGAATTCAAGGAACGGCGATCCTAGCCTCATAGGATAAACCATCGCTGTGCCTGGTAAAGACTCTCAGGATGGTGACAGGAGCGGGGGGTGGGCTGGGCTGTGGAAAAGACTGTAAGCTGGTGCCAACATGTTCAGTGTATGTGGGGGAGGTGGTAGGGCCTCAACGGAAGGAGTACGTGAAAATATATGCTGTAGGTGATCTCACGCTGAATCTAGTATAACAGGTGCCATTTATTCAGTGCCTACCTTGTCCCCTGCCCACCAGTCCTATGCCTTCAGCTTTATTCGGCCCATTCTACAGACCAGGAACTGGTGAAGCACACCGGGATGGAACTCAGATCCATCTGCTGCCTTAGCCGTGGTCTCCTGGCTGGCCAGAGGTTTAATGTCCTTGCCAGGCAGTCATTGTGGACTCCAGGCCTCAAATCCAGAAATGATGTCCAACAATAACGTCACCCTTGGGGACCAAAATACCGGGTCCTTCTCAGCCTCCCCCTCCCGTGACAGAGACCAGCAGTGCTGCCACAGCATGTGCACAGTGGGGAGTAGGTGGGGGAGACCTCAAGGGCTCCGACTGATCCCAGGATGCCCAAGCAGAGGGCGAGGGGAAGAGTGTGAGAATGCACAGGTCCACCCAACCTGAAGTTAGTTCCAGAGTTCCCACATCTCCTTTTGGAGGTCTTAATTTTTTCCTGACAGGTTTGTATAAATAACTTTTCAACCAATGGAAATTAAATCCAAGGAACTACTGGGGAAGTCTTCCACAGCTCATCACATCGTACCCGGTTTCCCCACAAGACACAAGGGATAAGGGCCCCAAACACAGGCTCTCCTTCCAGTCGGTCTTCCTTACCCCATTTACTTCGAGTGCTGCCATGGGCTTGTTGATGCTGTTGACAAATTTGTTGACATGCTCAAAGTGCTTTGTCATTTCTGTGGCTAAGACCATGTCGATGATAGCCTGGCGCAGTGTCCGATAGTCATTCCTGTTTCAGACGACAAATGAGAGGGCGCTATAGAGGACCCATCCAGAGCAGGCACGTGCTCCTGGAAACCGTCTCTTCTCTAGGACAGCATCCACTGTGGTAAAACTCTCATGTGACGGGAAGTTGCAAGGAACACTTTGAAACAAGATCATTAGCAAGGGGAACCTGAGCAGAGGTTAAAATCGGGAAGCTTGTTACATGTGCAATGTTGGTCATTCTGTAGCATAAGGGGCATAGCTCTTAGACTAAGAGAACACAGCAGGGGTGAACAAAGGCAGAGATCTGTGGTTATGAAGAATGTAGCCCCTACAGAGAAACCCTGAGAGTCAACAATTTCAGTGCCCAGAAACTTCGGACAGCTGAGCAGCCCATAGGGAATACCTGGGTACCTCTTCCTCCGGCCCTTGGTTTTAGTCAATCATTTTGTGACATTTCTCTCTGTCCAACCCCTTCTCCAGTCACCCCCTTGCTTTCCCTGGACACAACCCAGGTTACCAGGGTCTTGTGTATTTTTCCAGAGCTAACTGATGTCTATACCAGCAACTATGAATAAAACCTACTGAAATTCCAGAACATGGCAAAAGGAAGTTTTGTAAAATCAGGACTCTCCTTTTTTTTAAATTCCCTTATAAAATGTTCCATACCAATCCAAATTGTCTTCCACCTATTATTTATGAAGTCCCTCCCACAGACCATGCTAGACACTGAGGATACACTGACGAACAAAGGGCAGTGGCTACTTACAGAACTTAAGAATCCAATCAGGCATTAGCCAAGTAGTGAAAAATGATGATGTAAATATGTGACAAGTGCTGTGAAGGAACCTGGCACTGAGGGGTCAGGGGAGGCTTCCTCAAAGTAACATTTGAACACTGACACTGCCGAGAAGCATGCTGGGCCCAGGAGGGCAGAGTGGAGTGTTTGGAGCAGAGCTGGAAGATGACAGCTTCTCTGAGTCTTGAGAAGCTCAAGATGTCAGCATTACACTTTGCCACCTCGAAATGCCAAGACATAAAAGAGCTGAACCTTGAAAGCATCGTGCTAAGAGAGAGAAGCCAGTCACAAAAGACCGTTGGGGGGGGGGGTGCTCCCATTTATTAGGAAATGTGCAGAACTGGCAGATCTATGGGGACACAAGGTGCACCCACGGGTGCTTGTGGCTGGGGGATTTGAGCGGGGACCGGGAAGTGACTGCCAACGAGTCTGAGGTGCTTTGTGGGGGAGGATGGAGATGTTCTCAAGTTGACTGAGGTGATGACCGCACGGCTCTGAATAGCCTGACAACCTCTGCACACTTGAAACAAGAGAATTCTCGAGTACGTGAATCGTACCCCCAAGCTGTTGGGGGGGCCGGCGTGCTCCCCTACTCAGCGCTCTCACCTCTCCATGTTCTTGAAGATATTGCATTTGTCATCTCGGGCGGTCAGCTGGAAGGCCAAGGCCGCGTGGTGGCTCTCCAGCACCGCAGTGTCGTTGTACAAGACGGCCAGCTCGCTTCCAGCATTGCACAGGAACGAGTTGGTTCGCCCAGGGTGGTCCACGTCGTGGACGGTGGCTGCAATAAGCGCAGCGACCTCATCAACCGGGTCTAAAGTTTGCTGCGAACAAGAGAGCTTGTAAAAACGGGAGCTTGGCCCTGAAAGCAGGGAAGCCTTCTGTAGTCTCCTTACTGCCCTATTACTTTAAGGGAAAAATATCCCAGATTGCTGAGAAAAGCATAATGTTGAGCAAATCTTGTTTCCCTACATCTGCTGAAAAACAGTTGCATGTTTGTGTTTGTTAATGAGAGAACATTATCTGATTCCTGGTCTCACACAAGTTAAGGACTTACCCAAATACGAGGTGTCCTCAACAGACAGGAGGCACCTCCGCAGCCAACCTGGCTCTAAACCCATCACAGAAAGTCTGAGATACTGATTTGGACCAACATAAACTAGTATTATTGAGAGAGAGAAATAATTTAAAATGTGCATCACTTACGTTAACAGGGTTGGTCTAGTGTTTCCCTCCCTTTTGGTACGATTTTTGTCAGGTTGATGTCAGGGTTTTGTGAGTTTGGTAAAACAATCTGGAAGTTCTCCATCATTTTCAAGTCTCTGAAAAGGTTTATGTAACTTGGAAAAAATCCCTCAAGGGGCTGAAGAACTCACTGATGATCTGAGTCAGGAGCCAGATTATGAAGAATTTTGTCGACAGGTTAAGAACTACTTCCACGGTACTGACCTCTTACAGAAGTGTCTGGCACCTTCTTCTTTCTGCATTTCTTGATTAGTTTGGCTAGAATTTAATTTTCTTGGTTATTTCAAAGAACCATTTTGGATTATCATTTGGTCTTCTCATTCTATAGGTCTTAATAGATTTCTCATTGTGTTGGTTTCTTAAAATTATTTAAAATGCTCTGCCTGCCTGCCATGGCCCTGTGGGGCTGTCCCCAGGTGCCAGGACACCAGGCAATGACACGGCGGTCTCCCCCCTCAAGAAGCCCTGTTCTTAGATACAAAACCCGTGGTTGGATCCTTCTGCTCTTGAGTTCTTCTGAAACTGAAATGGCAATGCCACAGAACTCCCTGGACCCTCTGAGCCATTTTATGATGGATGTTGATGGAAAGAACACAAATACTTTGGCAGATCTGTGCAAGTCTAGTTGCTGCTTTGAAAATTTCCCTAATGAAGTCATTTACAACGTGAAAAGCTTTCTTAGGAGCTTGGTTTGGAGGTGGGCAGTGGGTTACCTTCCTCGACTGGAACCTCTCTTCCGTGAAGCTCCCCGTACCATAACCTCTTCTCCTCTTTCCTGCTGCCTCAAAGCTGGACCTCAAGCTGCCAGTCAGCGCCCAGGGGGACTCTGAGCCAGGTGGGACTGGCCACCAGTAGGGCCAGTGGCCCCTGCACTGAGTCAGCGGAGCAGGACAGACCTGCTGTGCAAATGCAGTCATCTCAGGAGCAGGCCCACGTGGAGGGGACACACAGAAAAGGGGCACTGAAGTCAGGACCGGGGGTGGGGAGGAGGGTAGTCCAGGCAAGGCTCCCTGGAGGAACGAAGGCTGGGATGGATCCCTGAGGGACAGCGGGGACACAGGGAAGCCAGTAGCAGCAAAGGCAACAGCAGACCAAGGGCAGGAGTGCCAGAAACCTCAGTGGTTTAGCACGGCCCACACGGGGCCTGTGTGTCGGAACCTGCGAATCCTCCTACTGTGGAGTTTAAGTCCTGTAGGAGGTGGGAAGCCGCTCCTGGGAACAGCATGGTCACATGTGCTGTTTCAGAAAGCTCGTGCTGACAGCAGTGTGGGGGAGTTCCACGGGGGGCGGGGGCAGGAGTACTCAAGTGGTACCAGGGAGAGGAGAAAGCAGGGCCCTCACTAGGACGGCTCAGGGGCATCGTGAGGTGGAGATAATCCTGAGGACACTGGGGGCCCCGGTAGGCAAGGTCACAGGACCTACTGGATGACACGGGCTTGGGGAGAGGAGAGAACAGAAAATGCTTCCAGGTTTCTGACCTGGGTGTCCTCTTGGCTGGTGGAACTCTGGCCTGGGGGCCGGCAACCCCAGGCGGGAGCAGAGCGGGGCAAGGATCAACTTGGCCTCAACCCCAGCTGACACTGAGGGATGGGGTGGGTACGGGGGCACCTTAGGTGGTGCTCTGCAAACAGTTAGGGCTGTTGTTCTGGGGGGGTCTCACTCTGAGCCTACAGACAAGTTGCAGCCAACTGTTCCTGCTGGTTTTCTCCATGGGGACCAATCCGCTCCTTACACTCCCACTGAAGAGCAGGGCTCACGTCATGAATTGACCTATCGAATCTGCAGAGCCGCAGCGCAGCCTCTTGCCTGACCCCCCACGCGGCCGCACCCTCCACGGGGCCCGGTGGCCCACGGGTGGGGACCCCCTGAGCAGTGCCCCCGCAGAGCACCTCGGTGGAGGGAGAGGCCGCAGCCCATCCCACTGCTCCTGCCTGCTAGGCGTGGTGCACACACGCAGCTCACCTTTATCCTCTCTTTGCAAAGAAAGTAGGCAGTGGCGTGAAGCACGTCGGCAGAGTGTGTCGAGTTGTGGTAGGGGTTAGACGAGTGGTAATTGGCTTCAATGATCTGTAACCACGATCTCAGCGTTGGCTCGGAGCAGTTCAAGAATTCACAGATTCCGAAGCGAGCAAACATTTTGAGACCAAGATAAATCAAAGGCCTACAGAGAAAAAGATGCACGGCCTTAAAACAAAGAAACGGGCCCAGTGTTGGGAGCTCTGAATAGGTTCAGACCCAACCGGCAAAGCAGAGCAAGCCTTCAGAGAGCATGTGGGCAGCGAGGGGAGCCCACCCGAGTGGCACGGGGCAGCATGGCCCTTTCTCCCGGCAGCCACCACCAACCGGGGCTGGAGCGAGGTGTGCTCACCACCCCCTTCCTCATTCAGACTTCTACTTACACCAGTAGATTCCTCAAAATCAGTGTGATGCTGGGCTTGAACCCTTGCCTCACCTTTGCACTCGCTAGACCTATGTTATCGGCCAGATGTCTGGTCTAGAAGCAAATAAAAGTTTCTGAAGGCGGCATATGAGCCAGACACCATCACCTGTCATGTAATGGTCTCAATAATCTGGAGGTGGGTGCTGCAGCATGAAGCTGTTTCCCCTGAGAAGGTGACCAACAGGCCACCAGTCAGGCCCTTCCTTGAGAAGTTACCTTGATCCAGCATCTGGCCTTCAGCTTGGAAAGTCAAGCAACGGCCCTGCTGAGGCAGCATCCTGAGGTCATCGGGCTCACAGGGCTCGAACTGACCTGCCCTGGCCTGAGTCCCATGAATGCAATGTCACTAACCTAGAAGCCAGGTGTTCGAAGATTCATGTGCTTTCGGAGTATCCTTTCTACTGTCCTTGCCCATGTGGGGTACATGGAAACAGAAGACACCAGAAGGCTGACTCCTGGTGAGCATGACTGAAGGGCAGGGCTGTCTTGGGGACAGACCGGAAGGAGGTGTGAAGAGTTAGTTATCCCATAGGCCAACAGAGCACACCTCTCCCGCAGCTCCGGGCCTGGCCACCACCTGACAGGGCAGCCTGCTCGGTGTGCCAAGTCAACCACACACCCCTGTGGCCAACTGTTCTTTTCCAGTGAGGCACAAATCAGAAGGTAAAATCCCAATCCCACCCCCACTCTCTGTGAGCACACCCAGATCAGGATGACCGGAGTTTTGGGTAGCTCTAGGCCTGTCACCAGCACAGCAACCGAGATCTGGGGATAGCTCTTAGCAAATGTGTCTGTGTATTTCTAATTTTTAGTTCTATCCTCTGAGTGGGACTCCGTGCTGCCGTCTCAACATTATCACCATGTACAGAGAAAACTAATATCCATATTTTATAAGAGAAACCTGTGCCACCCAGAGAAGGTGAGTCACTTGCTCAACTTCGCACTTGCCCTGAGTCTGCTGTGTCTGCAGGAGTGGCGACCCGGCCGCCCTCCCTGATCCCTCGTAGGCCCAGGCTGTCAGGGGCACCTGCTGCCCAGCTCCTCTTTCCAGAGCCTCCCTCCCTGACCAGGCACGGCCTCTGAAGAACCACACTCCTTGGAGGGCTTTTTCCACAGAGGCCCTCGGAGCTAAGCTGTGTGTCTGCCAGGCTGCACATGGACTCACCTTTTATGTGTGGCAGCCTCCAGTTCAAATATATTAAAGTCCCAGTACTCCTCGTTTTCCATGGCCCGAGCTATCCGTGGGGGGACGTCATGAAGGGAGATGGGGGTGTTTATACTGCTGGGCACCTGCTGAAGATCTGGAAAGGGATGTGGTTTGGAGAACAAAGTTAATAGGCTTTATAGTATTTACTGCTTCGGGGGACAGCTACTTTGTGCAGTTTTTAGGACATACCAAGAAACTTGTTACTGATGAGAAAAATTAACTGAAAACTTGACTGGAAAATCTGTTTTCATCATCTCAGTGTCACTATAATATTAACAGTGCTCCAAAAAAATTAAAAAGTTCAAACTTACTTTTTGTTGAAAGAACATACTCATTCCCGGATAGTCTTCGCAAACCATCCTGATAAAAATCAAGGAAACAAGAAAAAGAGAAGTCATAACTATTCTTTACTTCTTGAAAACGGTGGGACAGTCGGTCCCCAAGGATAGCTGAGGGCAGCCTCTCCCTCAAGGCCCCCAGAGTGCCCCTGTAGGCAACCACTGGACTCAGTCACCTGATGCAGAGGACATGGACCGACGCCAGGAAAACTGGCTAAGCTCAGGGGCCGCACCAGTGAGGTGAGCTTGCTCGAGGCCCCAGAGCCCAGCATTGCTGGGGGCCCTCAGCGCTGCTTCGGTGTCTCAGGGACAACTGGCTTCTGCCCTCAAGCCTCCCCCGCCATTTTCTTGCCACCCTCCTTGCCACGATGGACATCAGCTTCCTCTGGGAAAGTGGATTCTTCCTGGCCTTGCACACATACCCTGAGCCCCCTTGCTGCCTCTCAGGGTGAGAGCCCTCCCAGACCACTGCACGAGCCCCAGCAGCCCCTCCCTCCCACCTTTCTTCTCTTCCCCCCTCACCCCATGACACGATCCCGCTCCACCCCCCATCATTTTCACCCTTCACCTATGGGCTGGAGGTGCCTGTGCTTCAAATAGGCAAGATCATGGTTAGACATCACCATCCGTGGGAACCACTCTACCCTGCAGATTACTGCCTAAAACCTTGTTTTTAAGAAATCAAGTGAACTTCAGAAAGCGAAAGCAGGCACTGGGAGGAGAGGGAGTTTTTGTTGGTTGTTTTTTTTTTTTTTTTTTTGGTGCTGGTGAGGAGGTGAATTTTACTTCTGACCAAGACAAGAGGTGACGGACAGTGACAGAATGATTTGTTTCCCACAAAGTTGTTCTTCCCCTGTGAGACCACTCTGCTACACGGGCTGGAAACCTCCAGGACCCCTGGGAGCCCATGGTCCGAAGCCACCAAATCTGTGCAGGATGTTCTGGAAGGAAACCGTGCCCCATCCCCTGGTGCCTCTTTAAACATATATAGTCTTTCTGGTTCGTCACTTGGTATGAAACATTTCATATAGATACTTTTTTCTGCCCTAGTTTTCAAAATCTTAAAAATAATTAAGTTTTGCTTAAATTCCTCATAGGACCCCTAAGCAAAAATGGAGAGCCCAGCCCAGCAGACTGTCTAGAATATGCTCTTCCCTTCTCTGCTTTGAGTTGAGGTCTCCCTGGGCGGGGGGTGACGGGGGGGGGTGACGGCTTTGGCCAGAAAGCAGTGGAGCCGGGGTGATGGCGGGGTGCAGGCCAGCCAATAAACCACCTCTGGGAAAACAGACAAGAACAGGAGGCTCTAGCCAGCAGCCGGGTCAAATGTACTTACAGACATTAAGCCCCCAACGAGGTCATTAGCATGAGGATCATCATCCTTAGCACCAAACTGTGGTGAATATAATTCAGTGGTTCTTAGAATTTCTAGCACACGGTCTAAGGCTTCTGTCACAGGCATGGGGCTGCTTTCCTGGGCAGCATTGATAATGTTGATAACCTACAACATGGAAAGAAGACGTGAGTTTCATAACCTTACAAACAGTGGGAGAGCGATCCAGAGGGGCAGGCTGGCCACAGTGCTCAAGGCTAACTTAAGACTAGCCTCAGTGTTCAAGTCCCACATCCTCTCTCTTTAGAAAGGGCCACTCCCTACAACTAGGAGAGCATTATCGTTGTTGCAGGCCTGTTTCCTCTCACTAGAAACACTCAACCCCGAGAACAAGGGCCTTCCGTGCGGGCTTGGTGGAGACCGTCCACAAACTGCTCCACCTTGGTGATGGGCGCCTCGATCGTCATGGAATGTATCCGGGCCATGGAGGAGTGTCGTCTCTGGCTGCCAACTGTGGAGAGACCACATGACACAGAGATCAGAGTATGTACAGCCCCAGGCACCTGTTGACAGCTGAGGGCTCCAGGCCCTCCCTGGCTCCCCCCACCTCCCCCAGGCCTCCGTGGACCCAGCTGCATGATGAAAGGGCAGGACCGGAACTGTATGTCCAGAACGGCTGCCACCCCATCCCAACAAGCCTGGGGTTCTGGCAGAACCAACTGTGCTTCCTTCAGTCCTAGGCACTAGGATGCATGTGCCCCCCCCGCCCAGACTGGACTTCTGATGTCACAGGTCAGAGAAAAAACAGAGGAAACAATCTAGCAAGTCAAGGCCAAACAGTTAGCCTCTTTCTGCATTTATAACAATAAGGCTTTTAATATTCAGCTTGCCGCTATCCAGGAGCAAAAATGTTCTGGAAGACAATGCCACACAGGCTCTTTGTCTTATATATGGCAGGAGCAATAAACACAATTCCCCCTTAACCGAAATACAGGAGTTTTTGTTTAAATTGCTCAAGGCAGCTTTTGGTGCTTTCCACAGTGATGCTTAATCTACACCAATGAGGGAAACCCCTCACATTAGACAGGAGGCAACTCTTGGGCTCTGTCTGAAGTCTATTCATTTTCTGGTGCTCCTGTCAAGATACGGTTCCTCTGGGATAAAGTGAAGGCCGGGCAGTGTCCAGGCAGGAAAAAAGCATACACATAGAGTTCTGTGTGTCTCCCTGAAAGCCCTACTGTCAGGCCAAATGCTGTTTACCACAGACTGTTCCACAGCCTGATACATCAGCCTTGGTTCACCAAACTGAGGTCTAAGGAGAAGCACGGGGCAAGATGAACCAACTCAGGGGCTCTTAAGTACTTTAAATTTTGGGGACCCACAACACTCCTTACATCTGATTTTGGTGACCAGCATATGGTTGCCAACTTTCCATTCTACCCAGTAAGGTCATTAAATCAATAATAAAATCCACTGTTTTATCACTAATCATAAAAGGACCTGTTCTCATTTAAAAATGTCATGAAAGTGACATATGCTTATAAAAAATGAAACAACAGGGTGCCTGGGTGGCTCAGATGGTTAAGCGTCTGCCTTCGGCTCAGGTCATGATCCCAGAGTCCTGGGATCAAGTCCCACATCGGGCTCCCTGCTCCTTGGGAGCCTGCTTCTCCCTCTACCTCTCTCTCTCTCTCTCTCTCTCTCTCTCTCTCTGTCTCTCATGAATAAATAAATAAAATCTTTAAAAAAAAAAAATGAAACAACAGTATAAATAAAGTAAGAAGAAGAACTACGGGGTATAAAGGCTGCCCTATGTGCAGAAAGTCCAAAGGAATTTACAAATACTACTCTGACAACCAACAAGCAAGTTTAACAAGGTTACCGGGTACAAGGCCAGTTCTAGTTCTATAAACTAGCAACAAACAATTAGAAATTGAAGTACAAAACACTATTATGAAAGCACCAAACCCACCAATATTTAGGAATATGTGTAAGAAAAGATGTGTAGGATTTATACACTGAAAATGCAAAATGCTGCTGATAGAAAATAAAAGCCACCTGAAGGGAGACACAGAAGGCATCCATGGTTTGAAAGATTCAGTATCATTGAGATTTCCATTTTCCCTAAACCGATCTATAGATTCAAGACACTCCCAGATACAAGCCCAGGAGGTGGGGGGTGGGGTGTGTGTGTGTGTGTGCGTGCGCGCGCGTATGCACACGCGCAAGCACTCGTGTGCTAAGAAGCTGATGCTAGCTGCTGTGTGGAAACACAGAAGACGATCGTGAAGAACAACTTTACGCTACCAGATAAGAAGGCTTACTGGAGAGGCTTGGCAATCGATAGTGGTATTGGTGCATGTGCAGACTGGACAGAACAAGGAAAACCAAAGAGTCCAGAAAATGACCATATACTTATTTATAGTCACCTGATTACAATAATGGTGCTGCTGCAAAAAAATGGTTTTTTCAATATGGTGGTGGGCCAACTGGATTTCCATGTGGGAGGAAAATTCATCCTTGATCCCTACCCTCACCAGATATAAAAATTAATTTGAAATGAATCACAGACCTAAGGTGAAAGATAAAATAAAGCTTCTACAAGAAAACACAGGAGAATATCTTCATGACCTTGGGCGAGAGAAAGATTTCTTGAACAGGACACAAAAAAGCACCAGCTTATAATAGAAAACACTGATAAAATGAGCTTTATTAAAATTAAGAACTCCTGTTCACATTAAAGATCATCAAGAGAGTGAAAAGGCAAACCAGAGACTAACAAAATATATTTGTGATGCATGTAATCCAACAGGATCCATATCTAGAATATATAAAGAATTCCTACAAACCAGCGAGATAAACAACCCGATTATAAAAACAGGCAAGATACCTTCAAAAGAGAATGTCCAAATGGTCAGTAAGCAGATGAAAGGGGTACTCCACCTCATTCGTCATCAGGAAAATTAAAATTAAAACCATATCCACCAGGATGGCTGAAATTTGAAATGCCGAGATAACCAAGTGTGGGAGGTCACAAAGCAACGGGACTACTCACACAGCAGCAGTGGGCAGGAACGTGGGATAACACCTCACGGACAGACGTCTGCAGCTGCCCAGAGGCCAGCAATTCCACTTCTAGGTAGGACGGGAATGCATAAAAACATTCATGCAGCCTTACTCTTACCAGCCACAAAGTGGGAAGAGAACACAGATGCCCATGAATGAGAGAATGGATCAATGGCAGCACATTCCTCCAGCAGAGGACTGCATGCAGTAGAAAGGATGAACTCCTGGCACGTCTAACCACACAGAGGGATCTCAAGAACACTGAGGGAAAGAAGTCAGACGCCGGGCGTGCAGGCCGTACGGTCCCACGTCTTCGAAGCACAAGAGGCCAGACAGCCTTACAGGGCTGGACATCTAGGGCCTACCTTGACGTGGTACAAGGTATGTGTGCGTGTGCGTGCATGGTTGTGTGCGTGCATGGTTTCTGTATCTGCTTTGGGTGTGGTTACATGAGTTTATGGAACTGTCCAAACTCACAGAACCGAACACTTAATATCTGAATTTCACTGTGTGTAAATTATAACTCAGTTAAAAATAGTGATAAAAAACCAGAAACATGCGGAGCCTCAGTGGCTCCGCGGTTGGATGGCCCACTCTTGATTTCGGCTCAGGTCATGATCTGAGGGTCCTGGGATCGAGCCCCGAGTCGGGCTCTGCGCTCAGCTGAGGAATCTGCTTGTGGATTCTCTCTCTCCTTCTCCCTCTGCCACCCCCCACTCCAGCTCCCTCCCTCTCTCAAATAATCTTTTAAAAAAATAAAAATAAAAACCCAAAATATTAAAAACGTTTACCTCTTAAAAATACAGAAATGGACCAAGTCAGCCTAAGGACAAATATTAGTAAGAGCATGGGAGGAAGACCGTTGTGGGCAAGGGTGACCCTGTCCCTGCCCCCCTCTGCCCGAGGACCATGGGGGTGCACGAGTGAGGGCCACAGTGAAGACGGTGGTGGCAGTTACCACTCCCTCCCCACCAGGTGCCCTCATGTAACCCTCACACAGCCCTCCGTGCACAGCATAACTGTCCCCATATCACGGTGAGGAAAGGGAAGCACTGAAGTCTACCCCCAAGGCTGCACACAAAGTAGATGACCTTGGGACTGGAATCAAGGTCATTCTGAGGCCAAAACCCATGCTCTGGCCTATGACACCACACCACTCCCCTCGCAGCAGGATGGGCCTGTGCAGTATTTCCAGCGTTTTCTGAGCCTCACAACAAACCTGAGGGCACTGGATCTCCGTTGTATCATCTGCGTTGCTACTGCCCTGGAAAGTTGTGGCTCTTTATCTAGTACCAACCAACTCCTTATGTTTCCCCATTCACCTCTGAGTCAAAGAAAGCACACAGCTCGCAGTGATATTTGCCTCCATACGATCTTAGTAATTTTCATCACGTTTTAAAAACTACTAGATCATTCAGGCCACATATCTAAGTAATCTTAAAAATTATTTTCCAATTAAAACTTAAATAATATTTGCTTAGTAAGAGTTTTTCACATGCCCACATGCAGCTCACCTCCCCACCAAAAGGTAAGTTTCCATGGCAAACTGCAACCCACAAAGGAATATATGAAGAATTTCCAAATGCCTTATGTATTACCCACACAATTACAGCAGATAAACTGACATCCTCTGCTGTTAACAGTTTAGAAAATCGACTATAGGATGGACAGTAAAATGTATGTGTTTTTCTTTATTCCCTAACTCCACCAAAAGGCTGAGAATGGAGCCCACTGGCAGGAGTCAGAGGAGGGGGAAATGGACACAGGTTGCTAGAGGGTCCCCTCCCCTGTCTTGAACTGGAGGGGGGCAGTGACCTGGAGAGGAGACTGGGGACGGATGACAGGTATTCACGTGTTCAACATTTTCTCCTCGTCTTTGTCACCTACCTTCGCTTGTTCGAGAAGCAAGAGTTCTGACATCTAGCGAGCTTTTCCTTCTGTCTTTATGTTTGCCTGACTGATTATCTGTGGAAACAAACTATAAATCACCTCTTCAAAAGGATTTTAACAACATATTAGGAAAACTACAGATCTAAAATTTTTAAATAACAAAATTTAGGATTTAGAACACCAATTAAGAAGACACAAAAATCAACAGAGTGCCCAGAGATGATGACTTTGTTTGACCAATGAGGTTTTAAGTGGAGGGGGGAGAAGGGAGGAGGGGGTGACTTTCTCCAAAATGTCCCACCTGGTACAGTCATAAACAAGTGCTTTACAGGTTCCAGATTACATAATTACAGAGTCCTGTGATGTAAAGTAAAAACTAGAAGAAATAAACTCTGGAAAATTTTTCCTATTACACTTCTATATAATTGAGCAAAATGGTGAAAAAATTTTGATTCTCACCCATCCTTGCCCCAAAGGGGGAAAAAAAATTTTTTTTTACAGTACATGTTTTAAAATGTCCCAGGGAAGAATGTACCTCTCTTTTCAAGCATGGTATAGGGAACACTAGTTTGGGGTCTACTTCAAATGACAGTTTGTCTTCCCCCTGCTGCCCCCACTTCCTGTGAGCGGGGCCACTGCTCTTCCAGGCTCCCAAGAGGGGCGGTCTTTGACTCCTCTCCCCCTTACCCCCTGCCAATCAGAGCTGACCTTCCTTCCAGTCCCCTCCTCCGTGTACCTGCTGGGTGCTACACATGGTGCTGACCCTCTCCAACCTGACCCCATTTCACAGAAGAGGAACCCGGGAGCTGCCCTGCTGATGAGCGATCACCAAGCCAGCGCACTCGCTGAGCCTCCCACCCGCGGGCTACATCTGCTCAGCTCCTTGTTGCTCCATCTGAAGGAAACAGTTCAGTTCTTACCTGACTTGACTATGGTACTAGACACACTGACCAGTCTTTCTGGAAACTCCTGGTTTTCCATCTGTCCTTTTACTCTTCCTTCCTAATTTACCTCTTCCTCATCCCCCCTCTCCATGGTTCCCCTCTCCTTGATCCCAAGGTTTTGTCCTTAGCTCTTCTGGTCTTCCCAGACAACACATCTCCTTGGGAGATCTCATTTCTTCTTGTAGCTTTAACTAGCTGCTGTGTTGCTGTCTCGTCCCAGGCTTCTCCTGAGAGCCAGACTCATATCTCAACTGGCCACCAGCCACCTCCCGCTGGACACCCCGGGCACTTACAGTGCACTCATCATCTTCCCCCAGATCTGCTAAGTTGGAAACAAGTCATACACTTCTCCCTTCTTCTCCCTCAACTGCCCAGCTCAATCTACAGATTTTATCTCCTAACCAGGTCTTCAATCTACTCCTGCTCTGTCCCCGTCCTAGCTCAGACACTCACCATCCTCCTCTGGATTATAATGACATCCTCCCTCGCTGGTCCCACAGTCCCCAACCTTGCCCCCTTCATCCCATTCTCTGTGGGCAGCATGGGTCAAAGTACCGCAGCTCAAACCGCCCTGCCCTGGCTGCTAGTCAAGGACAGGATGGTCCCGCCGTATTCTCTCCAGATGCTCACTCCCTCAAACTGGAACATCCCCCTGCCACCCTCCAGCCAGACACAGACCCTGGCCTGTCCCCTTCCTCTGAGCTCCGTGGAGGTTACATCCACACAGCCACCTGGTAAGACGGCACTGAACATACTAGGTGGCTCCCGCATGCTTCTCCCTTGTAGCCATCCACAGTCAGTCACTGGGCACCTCCCCTGTGCCGGGCCCACACCAGGCATTAGGGATACAAAGACAAATAAGGTATGGTCCGGGTCCACAATCAGGCTGGGATGGAGGGAGACAAGGGCAGGTGAACTAGGAGGTGCAGTAATAGCTTTGAAGGGCAGAAGGGGTCCCGAGGAGAAAAGGCAGGTTCTTCTCTGGGACAGGGGGGCAGAGAGCAGATAAGCTGGGTTTTGTACATGGAGCCACGAAGAGGAGGCGGTATTTCCAGGAGCTTCCAGCACAAGAAGCTGCTTGTGCCTATGGAGCAGAGTGTGGCTGCAGAGAAGGAAAATGCACTGTGTGTACCAAGGACCAGAATATGGCCAAAGTGGAAGGAGAGAAGCAGGCTTTCCAGGCTTTCATTTGTACCGAATGTTTCAAAGTTGTTTTATCGCTATGTGTACATATTCCATCTTCCTGCTCCCAAGAGCCCCACTGAGGTCCCTGCTCCCCGTGGGAGCCCGACAGCACTGCGTAGACCCATCTCAAACAGCATGCACCTGCTGGGGCGGGGGGGGGGGCGGCTCTCGGAAGCTGACTCGGGGATGTCACTGGGGGATGAATGTGGGGTTCACGGCCAGACTGCAAGCCCTGAAGGAGCACGAGTCCAGGCCCTCACACCTATTGAGTGCACCACAAATATGGAGTGCTTGAGGCACCTGGCCTATTAATGGTCAGAAGGCTACGTAGGCCTCCAAAGACCAGGGCGTGGGCTCAGCACCACCTGTGACTTCAGCTCTCTGCTCTTGATTTCCTGTTGCATAAAACTCGATCCTTCCCACGCCACCCACCGCTTGAGCAGTAAATCCGGGGAACCGTGGAGAAGCAGTGAGGGTGGCAGGCATTCATGCGAACAGCAGTTGCCTCCATTCCTACAGCAACGGGTGCTCTGGAAGGAGGAGACAGGGAAGCCAAGAACTGGGTGTCCGGCAGGACTTGCCGGGAACACAGCAGACTTTCAGAGAACTTTCCGGGACCCTCTCAACAGTTCAAGCATTAATGTGGAATGCTTGCTCTGCCCTGGGACCACCGACCTCCCAAAAGTTAGCTGCTGGTCAGCCCTCCTTCCCCCTGCCCTCTCTACCTCCACCGCCAGAGAAGGCTTGCCTGCTCCAGATGCAGAGCAGCACCCCAAGTCCTGCCAGCGGTCTAGGAGGCCTGTGTCCGTGGGCGCGACCCTGGCAGCACCCGGGAGTACCTGTAAGAGACGCTGACGCCCCAGGCCGTGCTGCCCGGCCTGCCACTTGTCACGGCACTGGGGAGGCCGTTCCTGCCCCTCGCCTCATCCTCTGCACTACCCTGCCCCCTACCCATGAAACACGGACTGCAGGTTTCTCACCAGCAGAGACACACACTGCCTGGCACGTGGTGGCTGTGCACGGAATCCTGGTTGCACAAATGACTTCCACATCCCATCTGCTACTGCTGGGCTTCCCACGCACAGAGCTGTCTTCTTGCTCCCTCCCCTCCTCTCATCAGGAGCCCTGCCCCACGGCCCCGGCCTCTCCGTACGCCAATGGACAGCTCCACAGGGCCGTTCCAGGCACCCTGGATGGACCAAATTCAAATCTAAACTCGCTGAATTCTCCCTGCACAAACCTGCTCTTTCTCCTGTACTTCTTAGTTTCATTCACATCATGCAGTGGCCAAGCTAAAAATTGTGGGGACATTCTCTAGTGTTTTCCCTTCATCCCTCATACTGAGCTGCTTCCCAGGACTGATTATACTGAAGTATCTCTGAATCCAGTCTCTTTGCCTCTTTTCTCCACACCATCACCATGATTATCTTTCCTGGAAGGGACCCCTTTTCATTTACCTATTTAAGGAAAGACTCCCCCGGCCCTCCTCTGCTTACAAGATGAAATCCAAGCTGGCCTGACCCAGCCTCGCCTGTCTCAATGGCTTTGTGTGTGCAGCTCGTCCCTCCAGGAATGCTCTTCCTGTCCTTGGGCTGACCCCTCCCTCTGTCCCAGACACGGGCTCAACCACCATGTCATCACTGCTGGGAAGTGCTTCCCAATTCACCCCCGCTGTGGTACAAAGGACAGTCTATTCAAATTATTGCCCCCCTCTGACAGTGAACTCCATGTTCATCTCTGTGTGCCTAAAGCCAGGCTCTGGGCTCAGTCCCGATCACCTGCAGGTTTACAGAATGGACGGCTGCCATATTGAGTATCTTTGCTGAGACTCAGTATCATGTGAAAACAATACATAGGCCAGGAAAAAGGGGCCAGGTACTGGGAATGTATTACTTTCCTTGACACCCAGAATCCCCTTTCTCATGACTCCCACTACAGAAGGGGGAAGGCGAGAGACTCCCCTACTCCATTCTGTGTCAGCAACAGAGTAGCTAGGGACACAGGCCGGCCAGATGAGTGCTTCCGCTGGAGTCTCTATGACAGCCGGTGGGGCAGGAAAGCAGAGCTGTGGGGGAACCACTCTGCCGCAGTGGTGGCAGCAACATGGCATGCCTTCCACAGAAGGGATGGCCGCCCAGCTTCCTGTCATTCCTGCCCTTCTTTTTCTGATTCTTAAGCTTTTTGGTCCAACATGTGAACCCCCCTATTTTCTTCAAGTAACTCCTTTTCTGCTTTAGAAGTGCTTGTGCTGTGTGTAAAACCAAGGGTCTTGGCTGGTCCATGGCCTACAACAGTGTCACTGCCTTCCCAAGGCAAGACATTCAGCAGTCTTTGGAACATCAAGGTGGGTATGCTGCCGGGGACAGAAGGGAGATCTGACAGCCAGCCAGCTCAGCAGGGTGCGATGGGGAAGACTCCACAGTGGGCACTGATCACAAAGTGGGCTGACAGAATGGACCGGCACAGATACAGCTCGGGGGGGGGGGGTCCTTCCTTGCCTAACACCGAGCACTGTGTCACCCTGCCTTCCAGTACCCCCCTCTGCCATTTCCTGCCTGCCCAACACTGAGGTGGCACTGAACCCTTCTGACCCTCAGTTTCCTTCTTTGTAATAAAGAGGTGTTAATAACAGCCAGGCCTACTTCACAGGGCTCTTCCAGAAAAAAAAAAAAATCCAAGTAAAGGCACCCCATGATCTTGCAGTGTAAGGGTCACTGTCCTGGCAGAGGCCTACGTGTGTGGCCCCCATCCTGACCCCTCCGGCCCTACAGTTTGGCCCTCCTGACCCTGCACTTCCACAGGTCGTAAGTGTGTCCTGGGATGCAAAAGCCAAGGTCCCTCTCGGCCTTTGCCCTCCTGTCTCTGTGTGGCCGGCTGGGGCCACGATCCACGCTTCCCCTTCTCCCCTCCCCGACTTCAGTTAACTCATTCCGGCTTCCCGCTCCCTCTCTGAGCCAGCCTCAGGCGTGGAGCTACAGGAGCTTGGCACCATCACAGGCTGGCCCCTCACCGGCGACCACCCGAGGAGGAAGGCGGCTTGCTGAGGCCCTAGCATATGCTTGAGGGAAATGGGCAATTCTGGGCCAGGGAAAAACATGCATGGGAACACAGACATGGGGATGAGCGGGTGGGTGGTGTCCAAGGCCCAACAGGGGACAGATACGAGGTGAGCCAAGTCTGATGGGATCCAGCTACCTCCTCATCAGCTGGAGGGGACTACTGTCAGGAGGTGAAGATGTCCCTGCTCGAGTGCTGTCTGTAGTCTGACACTCAAAACTGTTGCCTTGTCAAGTACAGGTGAGGCCAACAAGTCACTAATCACTCAACACCTCTTGACGTGAGTTCATGCATCTGAGGTGATCAGTTCTCTCCCCACAGGGTGAGACCCACCCCAGGACACCTGTCAGAATGCCCACAAGTGCTCAGGTCCTTCAGCTCATCAACCAGACTGGGGAGTTAGGGAGAGACACGCTGCCGCGGTGCTGGGAAGATACAGTGCCCCCTGTGCACAAGGCAAGCTCGGCAGAGTAAGGGTCTGGTTTTTATCTTTTTCACAAGCCTGATGACCCCTAAGAATGAACGTGGAGCACCATACCTGTATGAGTGTCAGACTGAACACATTCAGTTATTTTCTCAGCCTAAAAATGAATGTAAAAGCCATTAGTTCTGATTGTCTAGTCACACGATGGGGGAATCTTGCTGGGCACCCCTGGGATCCCCAGGGCTCCCCTTACCTACCTTATTGCTGCCATTGCACACTCTGATAATGGACACATAGTGTCTAATTTTTCTGCAAGTAGAAAACAAGGCATTATTTCTCTCCTGGCTCCCTAGTCTGATGGGTATGCAGCTAATTTTTATTATGAAAGAGCATCTCTCTTTCACAATCTACAAAATGCTCTGAGGGGAGCATTTCTATTGTTTGTGGCCAAGGCCACCAATAAAAAGGCAAGAGTCTACAAGCATCCTCTGGTGTCTGTGCCAAACAGAAGTGTACTCTTCAGTGAAAACAATACAATTCTTCCAAGCCTTCACAACATACAATAAAAAATACTGGTGTTTTAAACAATGGACTGCATGTTAACCAACCAAAAGCCTTTCATTCCTTAGCATGTTTTCATTTTCACAGCCCTTTGTACGGATGTTCCTCCTCAGGTCCCAGTGAACACCGCACTCATGGCCATTCAGGGCAGCACCGCAGGCCACACTGAGCTCGCTAGCGGGGGTCTACAACCACGCACTGCGGACTGGACTCCTCACTCACCTACTGGGCCTTCCACTTTTCCAATTTTTCCCCTGGATCGTCAAAGCCCTCTACTAATCGCAAAAAAAATTTGGAGAAGGATATAAAAAGGCAAAAATCAGGACAGAGAGCCCACACAGACCCACCTCCCTGAGGCCATCACCAATGGGCAGCAAAACAGGGGGCCCTGCAGTCAGCTTGGCAGCCCCGCTCCACCCAGTGCTGGTGGTGGACCCTGGGCCAGAAACCTCCTGCCTCGGGCCTCAGTTTCCTCATCTGTAAAATGGAGATGATCACAGTGGCCACGCCACAGTGTGTGCTTAGGAGGGCACCGAGAGCCTGCCACTGAGGGACGAGCTCGAGAAATGGCGGCAGCTGCTGTTACCACCACGGCCACATCTCCTCCTACTCTTTTCTTTCCTTCATTTTTAGGAGAGCGATCATACACTAGGTATGATTTTACAGTTTGATTTTTGTGTTTATCTTCACATTTTTCCTTACCACTTAATTTTCTATGATCATTTCTAATGGCTGCATATTTTATTGTTGGGTGTCCTACAATTCATATTCATAACTTCCCATTGTTCATATTATTTAAGATAGATTGAGACAAACCATATGAAATTTTTAGGCTCCTGATATATAATACTTTGCAATCTATAGTCACATCTGTTTTATATGAGAGTTGCTATAAATGGGAGTATTTTAAATACCTTTATCTAGTCTGATAGGTTTACGCAGAAATAATACAGGCTTTCAAATTAGCTAAAAATCTTTTAAAGACAGGGAGTCTACCAGTCAGTGTTCTTACCACACAGCTTAATAACGTGACATTCTAATGGGAATACTTCAGTCTCTCCTGGTCCATGCAGCTGAAGCAAGACCGTCTGGAGCCTGGTAGCTCTGGGCCGCAAGCTGGGGGCAGGGGGGGGGGGTCAGGCTGCAGCCATGAAGATGCTGTAACCTGGAAGGCTGTTCTCTGATGACACCTGACCTTGTGACAGGTCTTTCTTTTAAATATCTGCATGCAGTTCTTAGCTTACTGAAGTATTCAGAGCAAATTTTGCACTAAGCCAAACATGGCATGTTGACTGGAGTACCTGGCTTTTCCACTTACCCTCCCTGTCCAATGACAGGTATTATCTTCACATTTTGTTGCACATTATCTCCATTTTTCTTTTTGGTGTGGTAGATTCCTTGCCACTCCTATAAATGGAATGTAAGCATCATCATACTGTGCATTCAAAACATAAACCCAAGAACATCTTCCACTTCAGGTTCTGATTCATTTACCATGGCTAAAGCAATTAGGATAAAAAATTATCCCAACCGCAAACATAATTTTGGGTATGCGACCCTTTCCCGAGTCCATCTCCTCCTGAGTTGCCGACAAATGCCAGCTCGCCACAGTGTGAGTGGTCACAGGTTTTCAGGGGCTGTCTGCTGGCAAAAGAGGGCCTGGGCCCACGAGTGAAGAATGCTCCCTGGCTGCAGCGCCCGGGCTCGTCACACTCTCCGAGCCCCTGCCTGCTGCAGTGGAGGAGTGGCGTGGCCTCTGCCCCTGCATCTGGGACAGGGGCAGAGGGGGCCACCTCTGCTGCCACCAGCACAGTGGCCTGCTACCACCCTCTGGGACACATGAGGGAGGTGGAGGAGGAGCAGAGACAGGTCTGGACTCAGGTAGGAGAAATCGGTGAGACGTTAAAAGCCAGAGCCGCAGCTCCATGAGCCACGCTCTCACGATCAGACAGAATACGCATGGGTCCTTTTAGAGTGAAACCGCAGTCTGCAAGAGGAGGTGTGCGCAGGCCACGACCACAGTGAGAACAGGGGCTGTGGTGGTACCCCACTCTTGCGAAGTGCAGAGAAGCCTGGGACGGAGCTGGGTTTTGTCACCACCTAAAACGTTCTGAATTCCTCCAAGAGTCACCAAGGTGCTTAACCTAGAAATAGCCCTAAAATCCACTGCAGGACACTCAACTCTTAGGGTGTTCCCTAACCTTCCTGACCTTCTAGATCCCTTAGGATCTGGGGCTGACCGAGGCAGGAAGCAGACTACCACAGCAGCATCAGTGGCCTAGCTCAAATCTCCTGTCCAGACCCTTACACAGGGTCCGTTCTGGAATCTTCCACGCTTCCAGCCTGGCAACCTGCATGCAAATGCCAACAGGAGAATCTCCTCTTCAGGCTCCTCTGAGAAAGTGGATTCAGTAGAAGCCAGGACGTTCTGACAGAAGCAAAGGATGGTTCCTGACGCTCCCCGGTGTACTTCTGAAAACACTGTGCGCCAAGGAAGGACTCAAGTAAGAGACAACCCGAGAGCCCAGCTCCGTGCTTACTGGCCCCGAACAGAAGGGAGGTGAGGGTCTTACGCACTACAGTTCTGCGGGGAGACTGGCCTGTGTCAGGCAAGGGCTAAACAGGGGTCCCGAGGCAGGAAGCTACCGCCTGCCTTCCGTATGCACAGTCCGCATATCCACCGCAGAAGGCTGCCGCAGACAGGTACAAGACTTACTTCTGAAGCTCACTCTCAAGAGAAACGGGGGAAATTGGTTGTGGTGATGTTTGCAAAACTCTGAATAGACCAGACACCAGTGAACTGTAGACTTTAAATGGGTGAATTGTATAGTATGTGAATTCTCAATTATTCTCAATAGAGAATTCTCTCAATAGAGCTGTTATATAAAAGAGAGGGAGAAAAATGGAGACCAGTTCAATCCATCCATCAATCAGCACTTTCAAATATATGTGCAGGACTTTCTCCTCCAATCCTTTCTGAATAGACGTGAGCAGCTGCCAGTTCCCAAGGAGGGGACTAAGAAACCAGTTCAGCCAGGGCTCGGTGGTGCAGCTGAGGATCAGGGCAACTGAGCCAGTGCCTCTGCTTGGGGAACAGCTGGGCCTGTAAGTTCCCCAGTCACTAACAGAAACAAGAACTTTATACTTACCACCGATCGTATTTCTTATAAAAAATATTGACCTCTCATAAATATATGAGTTTCAGTTCTTGAGAATAACACAGTACTACCTTAGAATGCGATTATGAAGATCACATCTGGTAATGCACAGAAAGTTTGAGCGACGTCGGACACACGGCAAACATTCAGTAAATGGCCTGTTTCTCGCCCAGGGGGTTTTGCACAGGCCTCCCCGGGCCGGGTCCCCTCAGAACTGTACTAAGGCCCATACCCCGCTTCTGTTCTGGGACAGGCTAAGCACTGAGCTGGGCTTCTCTGCTGAGACAGCCCGCTCTGGGTGCCCAGTCATCTGGCTGCTCTGGCCCCAGGGCTTGTGCAGGGCCTGCACACGGTCAACGGTCAAGGGACACTGGGGCTTTTGTTCCCCAAATGGAAAAGGTAGGCCAAGGTCAGAGTGTAGAATCCCTCTAGCCAGGCCAAGGAATGTGCACTCTACGCTGGGGGAGCGGCGTGATCAGACTAACCCCCGGGGAGCGTTGAGTGTGCTGACTGGAGGTGGAGGTCCCGGGGCAAAGGGCCCTGACTGGATTCAGCCACCACAGCCCAGGGCAGGGAAGGAGGCCCCCTAGACACTGAAGGGTAGAGAGGAAGTAAAACCATTCCAGGAATGGAAGCCCAGGCAAATGTGAGGCCAGCCAACAAGCAGAGACGGCAGAGGCTGGAGAGTATGGGTTTTTTGGTTAATGGGGATGAGAAAAAAGTCACTGTTAGACAAGGTGATTCCAAGATGATTGGGCGCCTGGGTGGCTCAGTTGGTTAAGCGACTGCCTTCGGCTCAGGTCATGATCCTGGAGTCCCGGGATCGAGTCCCGCATCGGGCTCCCTGCTCAGCGGGGAGTCTGCTTCTCCCTCTGACCCTCTTCCCTCTTGTGCTCTCTGTCTATCATTCTCTCCTTCTCAAATAAATAAATAAAATCTTTAAAAAAAAAAAAAAAGATGATGCCAGGAAGTTGCATGAGACCTTGGAGAGCAGCTGGGGCTAAAAGTGGGGAGGAGTGGGTCATTGATGCAGAGAAGCTAACAAGGAGCTTTCTGAGGAACACAGCAGGGACGAAGAACCCTGGTAAACTCGGGAGGAAACGTGAAGAAAAGTCAGGAGAAGAGGGGAGCCTGCGAGGGAGGAAAGTAGAGGCACCACGGGAGCTCCAAGTTTCTAAAAGCCAGAGGGCTCTGCAGCCAAACGTCATGATTACAGGCCGCCATCGAGCCCCCAACATTTACTCAGCACCTACGAGACACAATTTCCAAGGGAAGAGCCCCTGGTGCGTGAGAAGAGGAGAGTGTGGGTTCTAGAGCCTTGCCAGAGAGGCCTTGGGGATGAGGAAAGGGAGGGAATTGGGAAGGATATACACGGGGATGCAAAGAAGCATATGAGCGTGGAGGCTGAAGATCAAGGTCATGTCATAGTAGCGATTTGCCCCGGAGAGGAGCCGCAGGCTGAGAACAGGTGGAGGGGGGTTGTGGAGAGCCGTGTCTGCCAGGCTCTCTGAACATCAGCCGAATTTCTTCTCTGCCCCCAAGTGGCACACCTAGGATCTGACCCTCTGAAGCCTCCACCCGTCACCTAACCACTTCCTGAGTCCCCATTCTGGTCCCCAGGGCACCTTTGAGCTCTCTCCACTGAGCCCAGTGCCACTGTCACCCGGGGCTGGCTGATCCCTCAGCAAGCCCTGCTTCCCCCTCCCCCCCAGGGAGCCTCATCAGAAAGGCCATATATTCTTTCACCTCAAAAAATCTGCCCAACCTAGCAGGCAGCCCTGCGGCGGCGCTGCCAGCAAACCAGCCGGGTACCGACAGAGGAAAAGTGGCCACTCTTCTGCCTCCCCAGGAACTCCGAGACATGACAAATAAACCACCATGCCCCTTTTGAAATAAAGTGATACTGAGGTCGATAATGTGATAATCTTTCATATTCTCTGCTCACAATAAACATAGATTTTAGAGAACAGGTCTCCTGTTGTTCAAGCTTGAGGGCCTTTGTACCTGGTGCCAGTGACATCCCTTAGGAGGCAAGACAGTGTTCACACAGATCTGGATGGATCCCTGGGCCTTGCGCTCATCCACTAACCGCCCCTCCCCATCTCCACTTGCTCTCCTCAGTGATGGGTGGGATGCCTCGGTGTTCCTGTGGCCAGATTGAGGCACATGAGGGCCGTCCTCTCTGGCTCATGCCCAGCTGACCCTCACAACAAAACCACCAGCTGACCCCTCCTCTAGCAGGATCGGAAAGGCCATGGTAAAGCCCCCCAAAGCTGCTGGGTCAAGGAGACTGCTCTTTGGTCACTGCCTTCTGAGGACACCCCTTCTAACTGAGCGAGGGAACCCAGGGTCCAGCTCAGGCACTACGCCTGAGCACCTGAGGGGCTCTTCATCCATCTCAGCCTTCATTGCTCTTTCCAGAGGACCTGCCTCTCTCCAGCAAGAAAATCATCATCCTTGACAGAAAGGTGGAGGCAGAATGGGATTCGGGTAGTGCCTACTTTTGTTATTCCCCTGGGCGTAGGTCACTGGGCCCTCACAGCCAGCCTGCCCTCTTGTTTTCACTGCAAGGCAAACTGGTGTGCTCAGAGCCACGGGAGAGCGAAGGGACATGAGCCCACAAACAGTGTCTCAAGGGCCCAGGTAAAGTGGGGATACAGGCTCTGCAGAGCCCTTCTGCCCCCCATGACAGACTGCTCTGCTGGGCTACAGGAAAGGTGCTGGCCGGATGCCACAGGGGAGCAAGCCGGACAGCAGGTCACCAGGGTTTCAAGTGTTTTGAATGATCAGATTAATAGTTTCTCCCCAACTTCCTAAAGTTAAAAAGAGCCCAGCGGGAAAGACTATGAAAAGCAATAGCCTTTTCCCTGTCATTACACATGAAAACCTAGTAACAGTGAGGTGTGGCAGAAGCTAGTGCTCTCAGAAATGTCCTTTCAGACTGAGCCTGCCTTCCTTCCGTCTGTCCCTCCAGCGCCGTGATTATGTGACCTGTCGCATTCACAGCCTGCAACAGGCGTTCTCTAAGGCAGCCGTTGATGTTTTGCCCTTTTCCTATACCAGAATCTAGCAGAGTGCCGGCACACAGGAGGCATTCCAAAAAAGGCTGGACAGATGCACGAGGCTCAGAGAACTGCTGGGCTCAGATGTGTTCTGAGACTTTGACCTCACTGGTAATCCTCTACCCAAAGCCACTTGCCAACATCTACCACTTAGATGATCCATTATTAGCAAGATCAATTTACTTATTACAAAGATGAAGACACTGATTTCAGGTGTCAATCTAAGTTACTCTGCCTAACAGCTGACCATATCCTACACTCTCTGGATCTTAGTTTCCTCATCTGCAAAATGGGAATAATAGGGTGACCCCACCGACACTGCCCGGGCTTCTGCGAAGAGCGAGACTCATTACCTGGCACGCGCAACACTCAGTGAATATGTCTCCTTCCTTTCCTCTTCGTTACGTGAAAGTAAAAAAGGTACTGACCTCTTACTTACCTTGCCTATCCTGATGCATGAATTTATAGTATCGAGCAAATCAGCTTTTTTTTCATTTATAGGCACTTCTGCTAACTCCTTTCCTATTAATTCACCTGACTGATAGCCCATGGTTGTTTCAAATGCAGGATTTGCATACTGGGGGGAGACAAGAGAAACAACATCAAGCAAATTAAAAGAGAATTTGAAAAGAGAACAATCAAGGCTTTTCACCCCAAGCTATCATGTCTTCCGCCCAGAAAGCTCAGGTGCCTGGAGTTTACCGTGACAGTTCTAAAGCCATAAAAGCATAACCCCAGGAAATCCCTGGAGTCCAGAGAAGCCTCTGCTCTGGGGACACCTGGCTGGGCTTTCTGCTGTGGTCCCTGAGGCCCCAGAGAGAGGAGCTGGCCCCATCCCACTTGAACACCAACACAGGAAAGAAGCCACGTGGAGACAGGCCCGAGGTGCTACAAAAGGGCTTTTTGGATGATGACATAGTAGAATGAAGCACCAGACTGAAGTACGAGGCACCCAGGCTCTCCTCCGGCAAGTGACTTAACCCTCTAAGTCTCAGTCTGTGTATCTGTTTAATGGGAATGAAACTTCTAGGTTGCTGCTCTGATACACATGAGTAATGTGCTGGGAAAGCAGGCTACGAACTGGGAAGTGTTTACAGATGCAAGGCTGTATGGCTAAATTTCAGAGAGGACCACAAGACTAGAAGAAAATGTATAGGAAAGTTGTGCATGTGCTAATAGTAATAATAATAAAACAGTGATGATGATAAAGCAATAACTGATATCACTTAAGGTCTATTTTCCTTGCCAGACACTGGAGTGAGCACTTTGCATACACTCACCACTTAGAACCTCCTGACAAAAGGCAGGTGGTTGTGAGTATAACTATCATTGCCATCTGTACAGCTGAGAAAAGACTAAGGAACTTGCCCAGCGATGCTCAGCTAGGAAGGCGTGGCAGCTTCCTGCAACCCCGGCCTACCTGCCACCAGCCTATACCCTCAGCATTGGCCCAGGCTGCCTCTCAGGACACTGACCCGTGAAAGCCGCCAGCAGCTCCTTTCTGAGCAAGCTCAAGTGAGATTAAAGTGAAGAGCTGGAGTGCTCAGAACAGACATCAAAGTGCAGCTGATTCCCAGACAAAAGGAGCTTTTCCTTGGTACAAGCCCTCTTTTGTTATCTAAAAGTACAAGTTACATTATCTTAAGCCACTTTTATGAATCTGCTTTGCTTATAATGGGTAATTTATTCAGCAACTACTAGGTTATTCTGGAAATTCTGAGTAGTTTCTAGTAAATTTCTTTAGGTGTAAACTATCTCCAAAACCAGTGAGAAAGGCTAGAGCTTGCAGACCTTATGGTCAGAGCCTCCTCCTACTCCAGTGGTAATCCCTTTGGATAAAAGTCTCCTCTTGCTAAATATACAAAAAGGTGAACAGTAATAAATGCAAATGTGGTATTTCCACAGAATATTTTCTAGCACCTTAAGTAATTATTAGTACCTTTTCTTATCTATAAGGAACTTATTTTAAATTACGTATTTTATAGATTTTGTTCTGATAATCCTCTAAGGAAAACTTGGTCTCTTGAACTTCGAAAAGAAAAAAAAGATCATACTGGCGGGGTTCAATCCTAAAAGAACAAACAATCCCAGAAATTCAGAAAAATGAACTTCCCAAATAACAAACCTGTATAATGTGGTCTTCACTTGTAATTTCAATTGCTTCTTGACTTCTCTCTAATGCAGTGAATATTGAGTTACAAGCCCTTTATGGGTAGGAAATAAAAAAAGACTGATTAATGTAAATACTACAAAAAATATAATACAATCTTGGGTTATTACATTAACATTTAAATGTGTTCTTCATTTGATGATAAAAGTAACAAATACTAACTCAAGAAAAAGAAGGGAAATATTTTTTTAAACCTATTTTATTTAAAGATTTTATTTATTTATTCATGAGAGACAGAGAGAGAGAGGGGGGCAGGGGGAGAAGCAGGCTCCCAAGGAGCAGGGAGCCCGATGCGGGACTCGATCCCAGGACTCCGGGATCATGACCTGAGCCGAAGGCAGACGCTTAACCATCTGAGCCACCCAGGTGCCCCAAGGAGGGAAATATTAAAAAGCATAAAGAAAAAAGAAACACCTTCTGCAACTGTGCTACTTGGGACCATGACTACATACAACGGGTGCCCCCATTCCCACGTGAGGACCAAGGTGGGATACACGCCAGGCCAAAGCTCAGCCCTTCCCCAGCTCTGGGACCCTGTGCAAGGGACTGAACCTCCCGAGTCTCCCTTCTCTCCTCCTGAGGACTACATGAGAGAAGAGAATCAAGCATCCTGCACAGAGTCCGACAGAAAGGAGGTGGTCAGTCATTTGTAGTTATTATTTCTTTTTTTTAATGTAAAAAAAGAGTATGTATTTGGAATGAAGAAAGAAATCACAGCAAATTACAATCTTAAAAAGATGATAATCATCACAAAATCCAGAAAAAATAACCATACAGTTAACCTTGAATAAGGCAGGGGTTAAGAATGCCGACCCCCTGTGCAGTCCAAATCTGCCTGTAAGTTTTGATGCCCCAGAAACTTAAGTACTAACGGCCTCCTGTAGACGAGAAGCTTTATCCATAATACAACCCAGTCAATTAACACAGGTTTTGTGTGTTATATGTATTATATACTGTTCCTCACAATAAAGTAAGCTCAGGAAAAGAAAATGCTAGTAAACAGATCATAAGGAAGAGAAAATACATTTATAGGTATTTATTGAAAAGAATCCATGTATAAATGAACCCGTGCAGTTCAAACCCGTGTTGTTCAGAGGTCAACTGTAATTTTATTAATAAACTACCTGATATATATCTGTAGGACAGTTTCTGCATATACCTGGCAGTATAATCTTTGATTGCTTATTCATATCACAACATTTTTTTTACAGTTACCAGAAAGATAATTGTCTTTTTTTAATGAAATATAGTTGACCTATAATATTCTATTAGTTTCATGTGTAAAACATAGTGATTTGACATTTGCACACATTGCAAATGATCACCATAGCAAGTTTAGGTATCATCTGTCACCATACAACATTAATACAATACAGTTCACCCTTGAACAACATGGGTTTGAACTGTACAGGTTCACTTATACGTGGATTTTTTCAATAAATACAGTATTGTAAATATATTTTCTCTTCCTACGATCTTTTTAATAGCGTTTTCTTTTCCCTGGCTTACTTCATTGTGAGGACACAGTATATAATACACATATCATACAAAATCTCTGTTAATTGACTGGTTATGTTATGGATAAGGCTTCCAGTCTACAGTAGGCTGTTAGTACTTAAGTTTCTGGGGAGTCAAAAGTTATACACAGATTTTCAACTGCATGAAGGGTCAGTGCCCCAAGCCCTGCATGGTTCAAGGGTCAACTGTATTATTCAACTCTATTCCCCATGATGTACATTACATCTGCATGATGTACTTAAGTTATAACCACAGGTGTGTGTCTCGGAATCCCCTTCATCAATTCGGCATCCAGCCCAAACCCCCTTCCCCTCTGGCAGCCACCACTCTGTTCTCTGTATTTATGAGTCTAGGTTTGGTTTTGTTTTATTTGTTTTGTTGTTTAGAGTGTGTGTATGTGTGTGTGTGTGTGTGTGTGTGTGTGTGTGTAAAACATTTTTTTTTAAATCCATTTACCTACTGATGGATCCTTGGGTTACTTCCATAATTGGCTATTGTAAATAATGCTGCAGTAAATACAGAAGTGCATACTATCTTTTTGAATTAGTGTTTTTGTATTCTTTGGGTAAATACCTAAGAGTGGAATTACTGGGTCATACAGTAATTCTATTTTTAACCTTTTTGAGGAAACTCCTGTTTTCCACAGTGCTGCACCTGTTTGCATTCCTATCAATAGTGCATGAAGGTTCCTTTTTCTCCACATCCTCATCAACACTGTAGCTTGTGTTTTTGATTTTAGTTATTCTGACAGGTATAAAGTGATATCTCACTGTGATTTTGACTTGAATTTCCTTGAGGATTAGTGATCTTGAGCACCTTCTCATGTGCCTGTTGGCCATCTGTCTTCTTTGAACAAAATGTCTATTCAGATTCTCCACCTAATTCTTAATCAGTTTTTTTTTTTGTTATTTAGTTGTATGAATTCTTTATATATGTTGGATATAAACTCTTAGTGGATATATGATTAGCAAATATCTTCTCCCATTTAGTAGGCTGACTTTTCACTTTATTGATGGCCTCCTTCACTGTGCAGGAGCTTTTTAGTTTGATGTAGTCTCGTTTTATTTTTGCTTTTGTCCCCTTGCCTTTGGAATTTGATCAAAAAAAAAACAAATCACTAAAACCAGTGTCAAGGAGCTTGCTACCTATTTTTCTTCTAAGAGTATTATGGTTTCAGGTCATACATACAAGTATTTAATGCACTTCAATTTTTGTATATGGTTAAGATAGGGGTCCAGTTTCATTCTTTTGCATTTAGCTGTCCAGTTCTCCTAACAACCATTTATTAAAAAAACTGTCCTTTCCCCATTGTATATTCTAGCCTCTTCTGTTGTAGATTAACTGACCATATAAACATGGGTTTATTTCTGAGTTCTCTATTCTATTCTATTGATCTATGTGTCTCTTTCCATTCTAGTACCATACTGTTTTGATTACTAAGGTTTGTAGTATAGTTTGAAATCAGGAAGCATGGTACTTCCAGCTTTGTTCTTCTTTCTCAAGATTCCATTGGCTATTCAGGGTCTTTTGTGGTTTCATACAAATTTTTAGGATTATTGTTCTACTTCTGTGAAAAATGTCATTGGAATTTTGATAGGGATTACATTAAATTTGCAGATTCCTTTGCATGGTATGGACATTTTAACAATATTAATTATTCCAATCCGTGAGCATGGTATATTTTCCTATTTATTTGTGTAGTCTCCAATTTTTTTTTATCAGTGTCTTATAGTTTTCAGTGTACAGGTTTTTCACCTCCTTGATCATTTATTCCTAGGTATTTTATTCTTTCTGAAGCAATTATAAATGTGATTTATTTTTCTTTTGGATAGGTCATTATTCGTGTGTAGAAATGCAACGGAATTTTGTATATTTATTTTGTATCCTGGAATTTTAGTGAATTGTTTATTAGTTCTAGTAGCTTTTTGGTGGTGTCTTTAGGGTTTTCTCTATATAGTATCATTTTATCTGCAAATAGTGACAGTTTTACCTTTTCCTTTTCCAATTTGGATGCCTTTTATTTCTTTTTCTTGCCAATTGCTCTGGCTAGGACTTCCAGTACCATGTTAAATAAAGGTGTGTGTGTGTGCGGCGGGGGGGGGGATTCTTGTCCTGCTTCTGATCTTAGAAGAAAAGCTTTCAGTTTTTCAGTATTGGTATCAGGGTAATGCTGGCCTCATAAACTGAGTTTGGAAGAATTCCCTCCTCTTTTGTTTTTTTGGAAGAGTTTGAGAAGAACTGGTATTAATTCTTCTTTGAATGTTTGGTAGATTTCACCAATGAAGCCATCTGGTCCTGGACTCTGTTGTTGGGAGGTTTTTGATTGTTGATTCAATCTCCTTACTAGTAACTGGTCTATTCAGATTTTCTATCTCTTCGTGATTCAGTCTTAGAAGATTTTGTTTCTAGGAATTCATCCATTTCTTCTAATTTGTTGGCATATAACTGTACATAATTGTCTCTTGTAATTCTTTGTATTTCTGTGGTATCCTAAGTTCTCTTTCATTTCTGATTTTATTTATTTGAGCCCTCTCTTTTTTCTTCTTGGTGAGTCCAGCTAAAGATTCGTCAATTTTATCTTTTCTGTGAACCAGCATTTAGTTCCACTGATCTTTTTCGTCTCTATTTCATTTCTTTCTGCCCTGATCATATTTCCTTCCTTCTACTAACTTTGAAGCTTTGTTTGTTCTTCTTTTTCTGGTTCCTTTAGGTGTAAAGTGTTATTGTTTGAGACTTTTCTTGTTTCTTCAGGTAGGCCTGTATTGTTATGAACTTCCCTTTTAGAGCCACTTTTGCTGCAATCCCATAGATTTCGGTGTTATGTTTCTTTCTTCATTTGTTCCTGAGCACTTTTAAAAATTCCTCCTTTGATTTCTTTGATGGCCCATTGGTTGTTCAGTAGCATGTTGGCTTATCCTCCACATTTTTGTGGTTTTTCCAGTATTCTTCTTGTAAATGATTTCTAGTTTCATACCACTGTTGTCAGAAAAGATGCTTGCTATGATTTCAATCTTCTTGAAAGTACTGAGACTTCTTTTGCGGCCTAACATGATCCGTCCTGGAGAATGTTGCAGGTGCACTTGAGAAGAATATGTATCTTGCTGCTTTTGGATGAAGTGTTTTGTATATATCTATTAAGTTCATCTGGTCTACTGTGCTGTTTAAGGCCAATGTTCCCTTATTAATTTTCTGTCTGGATGATCTATCCGCTGATTTAAGTGGGGTGTTAAAGTCCCCTACTATGATTATATTGTCAATTTCTCCCTTTATGTCTGTTAATATTTGCTTTATATATTTTGGTGCTCCTATGTTGGATGCATATATATTTCTAAATGTATTTTCTTGTTGGGTTGACCTCTTTATCATTATGTAATGCCCTTCCTTTCTTTTATTACAGCCTTTGTTTTAAAGTCTATTTTGTCTCATATGAATATAGTTACACCAGCTTTCTTTTTGTTTCCAGCATGGAATATCTTTTTCCATCCCTTCCCTTTTGTTCTGTGTGTATCCTTACTT